TTATTTTTAATTCATTTTTATTTATTTATTCATTATTATTATTATTATTTTTATTTCTTTCTGTGATTTTTTTTTCTTTATTGTTATTATGTGTAATTTAGCCATATAACTCATAAGATCAGTAAATAACTCTGATTGTTATATAATATGAATAAATAAAAAAAACTAGTGGGGCGCATGGCATCGTGCCTTAAGGCAAATTGCTGGAACTTCCCGTACCAAAAAAATTTTTTTTTAAAAGTTCAACATTTTCGAAAAAAATTACTCTGAAAAAATTAGATTTTTGAGAAACTATAAACGTCTCCTAATCAATACGAATCGAATGTTTTTTGAATTATTCAAATCGCTTCATCTGTGTTTCCAAAATTGTCGACGAAAATTTGTATCCGCACACACACGCACACACACATACATCCATTTTTTTAAGGTATGCCAAAATGTTCAGAAGGTTTTGAAACGTAAAGATATATAAAAAAATTCATTTTAAATTTTTTTTCGATTACTATAACTTGCCCTACGGGAAGTTAAAAATCCTTTTTCCTTTCTCCTTCTGGACCCTATCTCAAAATCAGTATAATTTAATAATAACTCAATCTAATATAGCATTTATGATTTTATCTAAACTTTTCTCTATTTTTTCTCAAATTAATGATTCATTTTCGCGTAAGTGATATCACATTACTATCTACAGCCAGACACACGAACAGACGGACTGATATGCCGATATAACGAACACAATTTCCTTTTGTCAGTCCTACAGAATCCTGTTCCAAAGTTTTGTCGTACTCATCACCAACTTAATTAATTAAATTTCGCTAATGAATTCGAAGCGAAAACGAAAATAACATCTGTTTCATACGCGATATGTGATATGCGAATTTTATGGAGGAAAACCGGAGCAAGAATTGAATTTGATATATATATATATATATATATATATATATATATACATGTGATATCTTACGACAATAAACTTTGGGAATTAATTAATTTAAAGCAAATGTAATCACGGTACCTCCAAGGATGACAAATGATAGACTGATGCTTTCAGTAAGACATTAATTCCCTTTCTGAACATACACATCTACATACATCATAAGTACCTACTGGATTTCTTCGAACAGAGACGAATCTATCATGAAACATCTATTATAAATTTATATATCTATCGGAGACGAATATATCAAAAAAATATATCTTACGATATGTTAATATTATACTATATTATATTTACATTTATATATACTATATTATATTTACAAACATGGTTATATACTCTCGTACTATTATGTAAGCAAATACTATTACCATACTATTACTCATTGACGTACTATATTATATTTACAAACACTGTTATATACTCTCGTACTATTATGTACGCAAATTCTATTACTCATTGATGTAATATATAATATTTACAAACACTGTTATATACTCTCGTACTATATGTACGCAAATACTATTACTCATTTACGTACTATATTATATTTACAAACACTGTTATATACTCTCGTACTATTATGTACGCAAATTCTATTACTCATTGATGTAATATATAATATTTACAAACACTGTTATATACTCTCGTACTATATGTACGCAAATACTATTACTCATTTACGTACTATATTATATTTACAAACACTGTTATATACTCTCGTACTATATGTACGCAAATACTATTACTCATTTACGTACTATATTATATTTACAAACACTGTTATATACTCTCGTACTATTATGTACGCAAATTCTATTACTCATTGATGTAATATATAATATTTACAAACACTGTTATATACTCTCGTACTATATGTACGCAAATACTATTACTCATTTACGTACTATATTATATTTACAAACACTGTTATATACTCTCGTACTATTATGTACGCAAATACTATTACTCATTCGCGTACTATATTATATTTACAAACACTGTTATATACTCTCGTACTATTATGTACGCAAATACTATTACTCATTCGCGTACTATATTATATTTACAAACACTGTTATATACTCTCGTACTATTATGTACGCAAATACTATTACTCATTGACGTACTAAATTATATAGAAAATAGAAATCGAGTTTTTGAGAGAACGGAGAACGAGTTCGCAATGACGGGTAAAAGTGGTTTTTAGTTTTTGGCAAAGGTAGGCCCAGCGGTTTCGGAGATACAGAGCTAAATGTTAAAAAAATGGAAGTTTTTGAGAGAACTAAGCGTCCGATTTAAATGATTCAAAGAACTTTCTGCTTGTTTCAACAAAATAATTGCTTTCGGAAAAAAAATTTTGTTTCTAATTTTTTTTTCAAAAAATATTTTTGTAATTTTGGATTAAAAATTCAAAAAATTACCCAGACTAAGCACAGTCTAAGCGCCACTCTGGTACAAATGTTCACCCAAGTGCGTTTAGACTGTGACTATACAGGAGCTCTTTTTCAATTTTGTCTAAATTAGGCAACTATTTTTTTTTTTTTTTTGAAATTGAATTCGAAATGAAATGACGATTGTTAATGTTCTGGAGATAAATTGATTTATGGATTTAATGGAGATACATTTGATTTGCTCAGATATAAAGATAGCAAAAATGATGAAAGTTACAGTATTTGTAATAATATATTTGAAAACGTTTAAAATTGCTGGGATATTTCGTTACGGTACGGGAAGTTCTAGCAATTTGCCTTAAGGCACGATGCCATACACCACTAGTTATATGATTATGTTAGGTATAGTTTGATCTTAGTGTATAAATTCTGTAAAAGGTATATTATGTGGAACGAGTAGAAATTGTTTAGGATAAAGTTTATGTAGTTCGTTGCATTTGTATTCATATCCTGTATGCAAAACTAAACTGTGCCGGATATAAATGTCTAGCAAACAGTTTACACAATTTCATTGTACCTGTAAATATATATATATATATATATATATATATATATATATCATATACAGTTCTTCTGTATCTGTAATGATGTTCGGATTTTGATAAATCTTTTTCAAGTTTGTTAAAAAAAATTTTTAAGATGTATGTGATTATAAAAATATAATAATATTGTAGAAATATGGTCACCTTATAATTACAAAAAAACGGCTCGGTAGATTTTCACCTAAAACTTATCTGTGCCATTTGCAACTAATATCTTTCGAATAGTTTTTTATTTTTTTATAATCGATTCGATAGTATGAGCTTAAAAATGTGGGCAAAAAGTCTAACACTTTTTTTCAAATTAAAAAGAAACGATAATCCACTTCGAAATACATCGATTTGCTTTCAAATTTTTGAAATCGGTTCAGGTTTATAAAAATATAGTAATATTGTAGAAATGAATGGAAAAAATTGCAAGGACGGCCTGTCATTGTTTGACATTGAAAATATTTGAGACATTGTTTGGCATTGAAAATAAATGAAAACTGTCGTCTTCTAAAAATTTCAATTCACTTATGAGCCTAGACAATATTAGAATATGTATAACTTGACAGTTTCCCTGAACCAGTTCATTGTCTCTAACACTTATTTTGAATTCAATGGCTCTTTCTATTATCAAATTTTTGGGGCGCCAATGGGGTCCCCAGAAAGTCCATCTCTAGCAGAAATATCTTTACAACTTCTTGAAAATATAATTTTTTACAATAAACATATTTTTTATTACCGTTATGTAGATGACATTATCACTTGTATCCCTAGTGATGATGTAACTATGATAATTTATCAATATAATAACGCCAATAAAAAAATTAAAATTTACAGTAGAATTGGAGACAATGAACTCGATAAGTTTCTTAGACATAAAACTTATACGTACTGCGGATAATAAACTAATAACAAATTGGTACCAAAAACCAACTAACTCTGGACGTTACCTTAATTACTTTTCTTATCATCCACTCAAAATGAAAATAGGTACTATAATAAATCTAACTGACCACGCAATACTTCTATCGGACAAAACATTTTGGGACAACAACATCAAATTAATTACAAAAATCGTAACAGATAACTCATATCCCTTAAAACTTATAAACTTCGTAATTAGTAACATACGAACATATCTTTTGAATAAAATGGCGGACAATTTTATAACCCCAGTACATAACAATTGACCTGACTCACAAACTCATTCTGGTGTAATATGTCTGCCATACATTAAAGAATTGTATGTTCCTTAGAAAAAACTTTCTTATAAATCTGGACTCCGACTTGTAAACAATTTTAGTACAACGACTAGTACTATTTTTACCAAAACAAAAACCCCTTTTAATATCGAACGACTTAGAAATCTCGTCTATCTTAATTGTCTAGTTTGTAATTTAATTTACATAGGAGAAACAAGCCAGAACTTAATGAAACGTTTACAACAACATAAAAACAATTCAAAAAATCCAAGACAGTTTAAAACTATGATTGCGGAGGAGCATATTTATACTTTAAAACACAATATGGACTTTTAAACCTTTTATAACTTAACACGCTGTGCGACACAAACCTCTTTTATTTAGATAGCATTTCCAAATTTCTCACAAAACAATAAATACGACGCGTAAAGGATTCGCAATTCGTTCCGCACATGTGTAGAATCTTGGTAAAAATATTTTTTAATAAAGTCCTTTCTCCATTATATCTTCAACCAGTCTACGAACAACATATTATTCAATTGTGATTTTTTAAATTAGTATTTTGTGAAAATATTGTGTAATTCCAAGTTTAATGTGTATAACAAATAGTGTATTGCATTATCATATCCTGATACCATGGATTATTAAAATCTTTCAATTTAACGCTAAGATTAACTAATTTTCCACTGAATGAAGGCTAGGATTATAACCGAAACGTATAGATGTATAATAGATTTTTGAAAGAAATTCATGTTTTTTATTGATGTTATGCCCGATTATTAGACTTTGTTAATATATATATATATATATATACGTATATGCATGTATACAAATCTTATATCCTATTATATCTTATATCTTATCTCGTCTTGTCTTCTAGGTGTTCCCTAACAATGGGGGAGGAATTGCTGACATCGTCCCCGGCCGTTCCGCACGCCCCCCACCTGAGATCGGCCCCAAGTGGAGCCGACATCAGGGGCGGCGACTTGGTGAGCAGATTGCTGGCGGCCACGCCCCCTTATCTGTACTCCGCCCCCGCCGGGGCTCATTCTTATTTCTTCAGCGAGATGCTCAGGAGCCTCGTCAGGGCTCGAGAGACACAGAGGAGTAAGTGGAGAGGAATTTTAACAGTTTCATCACTATCACTTTATATTGTCATTTCATTGTCATATAATATAATTAGTGCAGTAAACAGATCGTTTTAGGTCTGAATTTTTTTACTGTGCTCCGAATTGAATGAAATTTTGGAATTAGGTTCATCTTAACCTTAAGTTCAAAAGTGAAAACAATTCGGATTCCGGGGGAATGACACCCCTTCTCAATTGTGTTATTACATTTTCCAAAATAACGTCGGAAATCGATAGAAGAACTAATATAAGAAAACTGCTTTAAATAAAATGTTGAGTCTCAATTCCCACACCAATATTGGAAATTGTAGTCTTTTAAACGGTATAACATAATTATAACCATAGCATAACACTGGTACTTCATGTTGGATGAAATTAATTTAATTTTTTATTATTTAAGATATCCAAAATTGCATCTTAAACTTCTCCTAATCGATATCGCGAGGGTCGAATTGTATGTATTCATCTTTACTTTCCCATTTGTTGTTATAAAGTGAAATTTTTACGAATTTTAAAAATATTGTGGAAAGATTAGTAAAAGTTGCAAAAAATATATATTGAAAAAAAAAACTATATTGAAAATTTAATATCCGGATCTTGTGTTGGCGCCCCCTTAGGCGCGCGCTCGTATTTTTCGCGTGCATTGCATTAAAGGTAGGACAAGCCGTAAATTAATACTTAATTTCATATTTTAAGTGAATTGGTTTGTCATATCCTATTCATATGTGTATCATTCATTCTGCCATACATATACTGTATTTTATATATATTAATTTTTGGCACATTTCAGCTGCTTTTTGGCAATAATAATGAGACATTCATTTTATTCATATTATAAATTATTATGCATATACTGTCATTATTTAGGTTCATAAATAAATTGAAATTTTTGGCAGATGATAGTTTTCATTTGTTTCAATGCAAACAATGACATGTCGTTTTTTGCACTTTTCCATTTATTTCTACAATATTGCACAATATATCCCAGTACTTTATAATCAC